ACTTAAAATCTTATAAAACTGACACGGGTAATAGGTCATTTCCGAGTTACCTTGTGCTTCTGTTTCAAAATGCAGGTCCACGTGTACCTCGCTGGCAACGCGCGTGAAGACACATTCCACGCAGGTCTCCCTCGCGGATTTGCGTGACACCCTCTTCTGGCGTGCTGCTCATTTCAAATAGCCAATAACTTAACTTCCGCCGATCTAAAATCGTCGATTGTTCTCACACCAGAAGCAAAACCGCAAATAAATCGAAAATGAATGTTCACTCTGATGTATGGTATCAAACATTATGACGACGATAACCTATAGGTTGAAAGTTTACAAACACTGTACCACAACAAGGAGTCTTCGCAATAAAGCACGGAGTCTGCTCTGGAACAATCCTTTTTACATCCTTCAGTCTGGAATGCCATAAATAAAGGATTACGGCATCAAACGGAAACAAAGCCAACGTGACGTGAGACAATCTCTTTTGTTCAAGAGTGGGAGGTGTAAACATTCCTGAGAATATGTTATTCATTTGTCGATAATTACGTCAGTAATCTGTGTGACTCACTTTACGGATCGAAAAACGTTGTAGTTGTCGCTTTTTGCTGATAAAAATCACTTCAAGCCCCTGATTGAGACCTCTGCTGGCGATGATGGATAATATCCTGTCACTTGTAATACTTCACTTTCTGTTTTCCTACTCAGGTGAGGGATTAGGTGCAGTAGCGGTATATGCAAATTGCAGCGAATGTTTTATGTGAAGGAACGCACAAAGTAACATCGGGCGCGCTTTAATTTCAAACGAAAAGGGTAATAGGAAAGGAACTTGAAGTAACTGGATCTGAACTTTTAATATCGCTTGATAACAAAGCTTCTGAGACGAGGGTTCGTCGTAATAAGCCATTTCTATTTCGGGATTATTTTACTCAAGTGACCTTTGAAATCATTATCTGTTAAACACTTGAACGAAATTTCTGGTGCTAGACATGTTTATTTAGTTGTCAGGTAAGAGCGAAGCAAGTGATTGATAGAATGCTTTGGTATTCACTTTACAGTATAGACTTCGTGTTCCGCACCGAACTTCATGTCACAAACTGAGTAAATTTAATATTTTCATGGTCAACTGTCCTTCAAACTGTAGCGAGTTACATACCGTATTAGTTTGTTGTGTAAAGTGGAACGGCTGCCGGACACAGATTACGTAAACAATTGTTTGAGATAAGTTGCTTGACTGTTTCCCAGATCAGATCACTGCCACTAGTGATGTAACTAGTAACGTAGGACGACAGTTCGCAGGTTGTGTGTTTTTTAAATGCAACATAAACATACCGGAATTTTTTTACAAGGTTTTGCTTGGCGTCGCGGAACGAGTTAACCTAATAATTAAAATTACATTTGATTTTTTTCCGGGCTAGTGAAAAAAAGCAACATTTTCCGCATTCAACATTTTCGTAGCTTCAAATCTTGTCGGCTGATAATAAATGAAATGATAAAAATCAGGAATGGACTCTGGAGCCTTGACAACTGGATTGGGAGCTATTAAATGGACTCTTAGTCAATCTAAAGAAATTGTCTGGGAAAGTACGACCTGAACATTAAGACGTAGTACAACTGGATGCTTTTTTAGGCTCATCATAGTTATTTCCACGGTTTCAGTATGCCATATTTGGTATATTAAATTAATAATAATAAAGATCTTTCAACAGGGAGCCCACTTCACATACATGTGGTTTTNTTTTCAGTGGGGCCCTGCAAAATAAAATTGCAAAAGCTAAAGAAACAGTGGATTAAAAATAATAATAACATTTAACCATTGTACTAATAGAAATATAGAAAACAGTAAAAAAAAAAAAAAAAATGATAATTAAACCACATGATTTTAATTTAATCTTGCACCGGAAGAAAACTTTGGCAACATCGAATCATGTCGCTTCGAATCATGTCTTTTGTTTTTAAAGCATTGCCTGCACTTATTTTTAGCTCTTATTAACCGAGCAGGAGGTCTGTATGGGAGAATCTTGACCGAGGTAGTGAGTACGGACCGAACGCGGTGAGGTCTGTACACACGACCGAGGTCAAGATTCTCCTATACAGACCGACTGAGCTCGGTTAATAAGATGTTTATTATATGG